TCCCTCAGCTCTTCAGCTCAAAGCTAGCGCTCTACCACTTGAGCCACAGTGCCACTTCTGGCTTTTTTCTTTTTGCTTATGTGGTGCTGAGGAATCAAACTCAGGGCCTCAGGCATGCAAGGCAAGCACTCTACCACTGAGCCACCTTCCCAGCCCAGAACCACCACTTATAAACAGTAAGTTGACTCTTATGTCATTCCCTCTGCAGCCAAGAACTTGTCTTAGGATATCTTTCTTGGACAAGTTCCTCATGATGACTGGGGCATGACTGGCAGAATCCAAGCCACAGATAACACCCCACCAACTTGTTCATTCTGACTCTTGAATTGCAGTCATATGCCCCCAGGGTTAAGAAAAAATATTGCAGACAGGTGCTGGTGGCTCAAGTCTGTCATCCTAGCTGCTCAGGAAACTCAGATCTGAGGATCACAGTTCAAAGCCAGTCTGGGCACAAAAGTCTGTGAAACTCTTATCTCCAATTAAATACCAAAAAGCTGGAAGTAGAAGTGTGGCTCAAGTGGTAGAGTGCTGGCATTTAGTGAAATGGCTCAGGGACAGTGCCCAGGTCCTGAGTTCAAGCCCCAGGACTTGCACACACACACAAAATAAATAGGAGAACATTGGGACTCTGAAACCTGATTTGTCCCTGTGCTGAGATTCTTTTTGGGGGGGAGGGTCCAGTCGTGGGGCCTGAACTCTGGGCCTGGGCGCTGTCCCTCAGCTCTTCAGCTTAAGGCTAGCGCTCTACCACTTGAGCAATAGCTCCACTTCTGGCTTTTTTTTTGCTTATGTGGTGCTGAGGAATTGAACCCAGGGCCTCATGCATGCAAGGCAAGCGCTCTACCACTGAGCCACCTTCCCAGCCCTCTGTGCTGAGATTCTTGCTTCCAGTAACTCCTTGATACAAGCTGCTTCCTTCCTGAGGTTAGCTTACTTGCTAGCTATCTGGCTCTGGTGGCTCTTGTTCACGGGCAAGATACTTTGGACTGTATAGCAAATTTCCTTTCTTTCTCTGCACTTGCCTGTACTTCTCAGTGGAGTGCCTTTCCAGGTCAACAAGGACCACTCTAGATGCTTCAAGCTGACACAGAATCTCTAAACAAGCTCTCTGCTTTGTTCCTATAGAAGAGAAGCTGAGCACAAGAGCTAAGGTAGAACCTCACTTCTTTAGGTACGTGTTGAAAGTGATGTGTGCCATGGGCACCGGACATACTTTTTTTTTTTTACTGCACATTTGATGAAAGCACTCCCAGTTGGCTTTCTTTTTCACTCCAATAGGTACCTTCTTATGAGATGAGGATGCAATTCTCCAAGGATGAAGGATAGTGGGTAGATCAAAAGAGATAAGGAATGAAAAAACACAAGGGTAAGCCGCTATAGGACTCAAAAGTATCAAGAAAGACACAAACTGGGTATGGTGGGGCTCACCTGCAATCCCTGAACTCAGAGGCTAAGGCAGGAAGAGTTTAAGGCCAAAGCCAATTTGGGTGACAATCACCACCAACAAAAGAGACAGAAACCAAAGGCTGCTGAAGTTGGCTTATTTGGAGGGAAAGAAGACCAACAAAGGATCGAAACTAAGGAGACAGGTCCAGAAAAGGGAGACTAGGAAATGAAAGAAAGATGCAAGGCAATTACAGTGTGCACTCATTTCCTAGGTTGCATAACAGACCACAATAAACTTTGTGATGAAATAAATTTATTTTTCAGTCCCAGAGGGCAAAAGTCTGAGGTCAAAATGGTAGAAGGGCCACATTTCCTTCAGAGGTTCCCCCTTGCTTCCTGTAGCTCTGGTGGTTGTCAGCATTTCTAGGCCTGTGGATCTAATAGGTGTATGTGCTTCCCCAGGCTTTCCTGTTTTTCTTATTTACAACTAGCTTTAAATAAGATTACCATTCAACATGTACAACAAATCTTGATTAATGTCACTCCTTCTATCATTCTTCCCCATTGTCCCAAACCCATTCATACCCTCAAGTGACTTCTTATCTCTGTCTCTCATGTAAAGACACTGTTACTGGCTTTAGGACCCACATGGATGATGGGAGAATCATCTGTTCATCTCAATATCTTTAACTTTCTATATCTCTATAGAGCCTTTTTCCAAGTAAGTTAATAGTTCACAGGCTCTAAGAATCTGGATGTGGCTGTATAAGCTCCCAAGAGGCCAACAGTTAGCACATTACAAGGTAGGAGAAACAGGATGAAACAAATCGACAGGTCAGACTAATGGGCCTTGTCTTCTGGGCATTTCTGAAACCATGGTCACATGTGGCTTTACAGCCTGTTTTGCATTCACCTTGGTCTCATCATCATGATTTCTCTGTTCTTATGGATCAAGACAGAAAACTTGAAGGTTTGTCCTTCTCTCTCCACTAAAAACCCACTGCACCAAACACATTCACACACCACACCACTCACTGATGGTTCAATGAAGCTCACCCTCCCTCTAAAGCAAAAACCTTTCCCAATTACTTGCTTTCTACTTCTGGGCCCCCTTCCTAGGTTCTGGCTGCTTCTTCATCCCCCTTTCATTCAATCCTCCCTCATTTTATTACACAGAAGATTTTAACTCTTCTTTGTCTACTCTGCCTCCAGGCTCACCTTAGCAGAGTCAAAGACTCATTAATGTCTCCATAAAACAAAGGGCCGTTTATAAAAGACAGAACCACGGGCACAGATTTCCTAATTTTTTTTCATTCTCTCATCCTCTAGCTGTATGGAAATGAGTTTTCCTCAGACAGGAAAGATGAAGTAGTTACAATCTGGATTTTAGATAATCTTTTCCTTCCTTCTTTCTGGTAAATATGCATTTTCTTGACAACTATTTCTTATAGGGTTATTTTTTTTCAAATTTTTGATCTCAGACTGCTTTTATACTATTTTCAGGGCCATAAATTTTAGTTTATATGGATATTATCTATGATATTTACCACATGAGAAATAGAATAAAAAAGCTCAGAGGCATTTATTAATTTTTTAAAACAAGTATAAGGCTATTAGGTATGACTATAAATTATATCTTTTTATGAAACACATTTTCCAAAACATCAGCAACAACAACAGAAATACTTGGGAAGAAGAAGGGCACTTACATTTTCCCAAATCTCTTTACAGTCTGGCTTAATAGAAGACAGCTGCTCTGTATTGAGTCTGTTTCAAGATCAGAGTCCCTGGAAAACTCAACTGTACAACTCATGAGAGAACGAGAATGAAACGCATTTTAGGATTATCTTGCTGACCATTAAAATCACATTCCACTTTTAATCCACATTTTAACCCACATTCCATTTAGGCCTCCTCTTTAAATGGGGGAGGGGGGGTGACGAGGGGGGAGAAGCGAATTCCAGGAACTCAGTGAAATATTAAGTTAAAACTAAACCATGGACCAAAACTTCAGAAAGCCCCCATTGGCAGACTTGTCATCTATGTCTATAGGTAAGAGAGTGTCTTTGAAAAGCGACATTCTGAGCAAGGGGCTCATCCGAGCTGCCCCGGCGTCCGTTTTCACCTTGGTGATGCTGACATCCCCTCAATCTGCGAGCCCCCCGTCTGGTCCCCACCGAGGGCAGCAGGCCTGGCGACGCCCATGTCCCAACACTTAAGGCCACTCACAAGCAGTCAAAAATCCGGACCCGCGTCTCCTGACAATGAATTCTCAGACAACTACTCAGCAAGATGCTGGCTTCTTTGCCCGAGTGGCCGAATGCTCGAGAAGCCTTCGGCCTGGCTGGGGGAATCCTCTGCTTTCTGGAGGTTTGCCTTGAGGGAAGCCGGGGGTCGGGCGCCCACGCGTCTCGCGCGGCGGGAATTCGGGTCCGGTCGCCCGGGGAGGCCGGAACCTTTCTCCGACAGCCGCTATGTCCGGGCGGAGACCGGAACCGTTCTCTGCGAGTCGTCGTTTCCGGACGGAAGCGTGCAGAGCCGGAACCGTCCTCCACCCGCGGCCCGACCTGCCGCTGGGGTCGCGGCTTGCTGACGTGTGGGCCCGCAGGTGCCGGCCGACATGGCGGTGGACATCACCCTGCTGTTCCGGGCTAGCGTCAAGACCGTGAAGACGCGGAATAAGGCTCTGGGCCTGGCGGTGGGCGGCGGGGCCGATGGCACCCGCGACGAGCTGTTCCGCCGGAGCCCCCGGCCCAAGGGCGACTTTTCCAGCCGGGCCCGTGAAGTGGTGAGCGGGTTGCCATGGAAACGGGGGGAGGGTGGCCAGAGGGGGACGCGAGACGGGGCGGCGGACCCGCGCCCGGGACCCGCCGGGGGCCCGTTCCCTGCGTTGGCCTCCGAGTCGGAGCTGTCCGTGTCGGGGGACCCGGCCAAGCCCGTGTCTCCCGAGGGGAGGGAGGGAGCTCGGCTGGCTGACCCCCGCGTCATGGGTTCCTTTGTGAGGCGTCACTGCGGACTTGCAGCACCGGGGAAACCTCCCCCAGCCCCTCGCCCTGGGACTCCGGTGAAAACCCATCCAGCCGGTGGCTCACACCTATAATCCTAGCTACGCTAGAGGCTGAGAACTGGCAATCGCGGTTCGAAGCCACCCAGAGCAGCAAAGTCCGTGAAACTCTTGTCTCCAGTTAACCACCAAAAAAGTGGAAGTATGGCGCTAGAGGTAGAACGCCCTCCTGGCGCAAGAAAGCTCGGGGACAGCCCTCAGGCCCCGAGTTCAAGCCCAGATCATCGCAAAACAACAGAACCCTCAGCGCTGAACTCTACCCTCCCCTTGCCTCCTGCCGTGGTTAGAACTCCGGTTTAGGATCATCTTCCACAGACACTCGGATATGATTATCTAAACTGAGTTCTGTACCCAGAACGCAGCGGGCTGTGAATAGTTTGTCCATCTGAGATCAGGGACCTTCTCCTCACTGGCAGGAACAGAGTTGGCTTCAGCTGGGAACGACTCCTAGCCTTGCTTTGTAAATACTTCTTGAATAACAGTTGTTGTTTTTTTTCCACTTAAGCAAGAAATGTTGGCCTTGTGCAGGTTTGTGTGTTTGGCAGTAAGAGTAGAGTAGATGTAGTTTTGTGGAGCCTCAAGCTTATACAGTTCCTTGTGCACTTCTTAAAAAATAAAAATATAAAATCACCAAAAGGAAACTTCAGATCATTGGAAGATGTAAATAAGAGGCCCCTGAAACTTAACATCATTGATTTCAACATAGCCCAATGCCCAACACTTGTTATTTTTGAATGAATATATAGGCATGAATTAGTGAATGGCTGTCATTAGAAGATGGTCAAGCATCTGAAAGGGGGTTAGATCAGGTTCAATGACTCATTGGCACATGCTGTAATCTCAGCTACTGGAGATGGAGAGAGGTTGCCCCCCCATCTCTCTCTCTCTCTCTCTCTCTCTCTCTCTCTCTCTCTCTCTCACACACACACACACACACACACACACATATTATTGCATACTCATAATAAATAAGATGGGTGTAGCAGTTCACACCTGTAATCCCAGTTATGGAAAGACCAAAGGATCTAAGTCCAAGGCTGGCCTGGGGGAAAAATGTGAGGCCCTAACTGAAAACTAACTAAAGCAAATAAGGGCTAGGAGCATGGATCAAGTGGTAGAGCATGTGCCTAGCAAGTGTGAGGCTCTGAGTTCATACCTCAGTACTGGAAGAAAAAAAAAAGGAAGACAATCAGATTAGAGTCAATAAAAGCAAACAGTACCTTCCTTCTGGCCAGTACTGTCTAAGAGTAACAGGATATAGGATTGGTGAAACAGATACCTACAAGTCTGGTAGGGCATTACTAGGCAACATGCAAAAATAACATTCTAGAAGAGGAGATGATTCGTCCAGTGCAGATTGGTAGGGAAGGGCATCTGAGGCCATGGAAGTAATATGTCCAAAGGCATGGAATGTACATCAGCCTGATCTAAGTTGGTTTGACATTTGAACAAGCATTTGAACATGGCTGGAATGTGGGATTCCCAGAAGAACGACTACAGTGGCAGACAGAAGTAGATCTTAAGGGCCTTGTAGATTTGAACTTTGCCTTATAGGGAGTCAGATGCTGTGTGACCCTTAGAAGCACTAAAGAAGGCCCAGAGCCTAGTCTGTTACCTTAGCCCTGCAACTATTAGCTATCTCACAAAATAAGTCTTTAAAAATGGTATTCATCCCATCTATTTTTTATTTTTTGCCAGTCCTGGGGCTTGAACTCAGGGTCTGGGCACTGTCCTTGAGCCTCTCTGTGTTCAAGTCTAGCACTTTACCACTTGAGCCACAGCACCACTTGTGGCCTTTTCTGTTTGTATGGTACAGAGGAATCGAACCCACGGCTTCATGCGTGCTAGGCAAGTACTCTACCTCTAAGCCGTGTTCCCAGCCTCCATTGATCCCATCTTGTATATATCAGTATGTCTGTAGAAGGGAGAGCTTCCCAGGTTGAGATGAGAGGAGGGGAAACTAGGATGTTCTTCTGTATTCTCAATCTGACCAACCTGTTCCTGCATTCTTATGGAATTGTACAGAGATTTCACTTTTGAGTTTTAGATGGCCCTTTCTGAAATCATTGGATTTTTGGCCCACACGGGTAAGGGCTTCAGGAATATGAGAGACAAGAAGCACAGTTCAGGTATCAAGCCCAGTGAGGGTTGGGAGTGGGGCTCTGTGTCTACTTAGGTCTGTCCCTGAGTGATGTACTTGAAGTTGTTTTGGCTTATTGGACTTTGGAAATGGAAACAGGACTGTGGGTGCTGAGTTCCTGGTTCTGGTGGTAATTCCACAGAGGAAGCTGCTTGTCAGAAGTGTTTTGAAAAGAACACTTGGACACCTCTTAGAGGGTGAGACTACATGTAGCTGGAAAATCCAGGGTTGCTGTTTAACGGTATAGAAAGATGTCAGGGCTTAGAGATTCTATTTAGTAGGGACATGATGTGTTTAGGGTTACTGCCCCTCTCCATGTGAAAAAGAAAAACGTATTTTAAGGAACCTACTGTTTGTTGCAATTGTTTTGTGTGTTTCCTTATACCTGTCCTCTGCTCTGTTTTTTCCTTGTGCAGAGGAAAGAGGGAAGACCGAGTGGTGAGCTTCCTGGCTTTTTGATGTCAGTTAAAAGCATGGTTGGCATTTTGATGGTCCTGGATTCCTTGTCCTTAACATTCTCATTACTCCTAGAAGCAGGTCTTCCAATTCAAGCTTATTCCTGGCTCTCAGATCTAAGGAAAAGAAGGAAGAGATGGATTTTTAGAAGCACATCTTCCAGTTTGGGCTTAGCCCTGGCTGTCTAATCTAAGGAAAGGTAGCCAGGGATGGTAGGGCCCTGTGTTAAATGCTTCCCTTGAAGCACAGATAGTGTTTCTAGGGTTTGTTTTTATCTAGCCCAATTCTACTTCTGCTCCTCATTGTGGATAGAACATGTTTGAGATGGGATTTCTATCTCACTGAATTGTTGTCAGTTATAGTAAGTTTAATAAGATTATGCTGAAAATAGATTCCCACCACCACCATGATGGGTCAGTTTCTTCTGCATCTTTCTTCTAAATAGTAGCTTTTTTTTTGTTTTTCAGAAACAGAGTCTCACACAGCCTTCTGAGTTCTGGGATTATAATATGTGCTACCACACCTAGCTAAATATGTTCAACTTTGCTATCTTGATAGCCAAGCAAGCATTTGCTAATCATTTATGTTTTGCATAATTTATATTAGCAAATGGCTCTGGAATGCATGCCAACCCATTAAATTAAAAATGAACAATAATGACATTTTGGATTTTTTTTGAAGGACTTACACTTTTTGAACAGTTCCAAAGAATAATGAACACACCATTTTGCAATGGGAGGTTGTTTGGTTAATTAGCTCGGAGTGGGCAAAATAAAGAGCCATGAGATTAGTAAATGATCTGGAGCTTGGGTTCCAAGCTGGATCCTGCCACTTAGGGGTGGGCACGCGTGGCATACCCTCTTATCTGCATCTCATTATCATATCAAATGGGCCTGAGGATGCCCTGCCAGGCTATGTATCTGTTCAAAGAAACCAGACCGTCCATGGAGGCTGTTCTCCAGGCTTAGTCTGCAGACCACTTAGCTGACTTGTGCTTGGATCTCTCACTTACAAGTGCACAGGAAGGAGTGGAGCCCTGTGTGGGGCTGGTGGCAGCAGCTGTGTGTTAGGATTAAGGGTGTGCACTACCCATGTTGTGATCCTTTTCCTCCCCATGACCCTTTACAGCTCTATATCCTGGGAGCATTTCCTAGGGCTTAATGTTAAGTTCAAATCTATCATCCTACTGGACAGCTAGTTAAAATGAAATTGTATGCTTAAAGCAGAACCATAGCCCTTTAAAAACACCACCAACAACAAAAAATGAACGTTAAAAGACCTTGAGTTCATCCTGTTGGGGCTTAGCATTTTCTAGGTGGAAGGACTTAACAGCCTGTGTAGCAGAAGATTTTTTTTGGAGGTTCTCAGTCTCCTTTGATCTGGGCAGGCCAAAGAAGGCAAGGTGGGGATGGCCATGCTTTATTCACAGCCTCTGTCTTCACATTCAGCAGCAGTGACCACACATTGCATGATGCTCTGTTCATCAGCCATCCCAGCAAAGACTCACAGACTTTCCACAGCAATACCAGCTTTATTCTGTTCACACGTTCATATTCTGCCCCCAGCAGTAGTACCTCCTCATACCTTGCTCTCTAGTGGGGCCTGTTTATACTTTCTAGACAAAAGTGGAATTAGGCCAGAGATGACCACACAAAGATATGAATATGCACTGGTGTCAAGGCTACGTGCAAGTTATCTAAGAAACTGCATGCCTGCATAGCTCAAGGTTACATCAATATGTTGAGCTAGCTGAATCCCAGTCCTTGGAAGTGCAGGCCCAAAGCCTCCCAGAAGCTATAGTGAGAAAGCCTGACCTTACTCTGCTTACTCTACACAGCTAGACAAGGGAAATGATTGACCCAAAGTCATAACAGGTAGAAAGCAGGTCCTTAGAGCCACTTTAATGCTAACTTCACTCCACAGCTCCTATTTCAGTACCCACTAATTTTTTTAAATTTTTTAATGTTTTGGGGGTTTTTTGTGTGTGTGCCTGATACTAGGGCTTCAACTGATGGCCTAGATGCTGCTCTTACCTTTTTCATTCAAGACTGATGCTTTACCATTTGAGCCATACCTCCACTTCTTGCTTTCTTGCTAATTAATTAGAGTTAAGAATTTCACAAACTTT